CATAAACGAAACTTTGAAGCGACCTCGCTCGCAAGCACGTGGTTGAAAGAAAGGTGGCGACGTCTATATGCCTCCGGCGTGTGCCTGTCCTTGGAGCTGAACCACTTCAGTCTGCCCAAGAAATTCGAATCGAATTCTGAATTGAACCAACAGAGGACTCGCCAAAGCTCGTTTGATTGGTGAACTGAGCAAGCAATTGTCCACAACGCCAGTTGATTCGCAGCTGAACTAACTATAATAGCATGTGGCTCATAAAGAAGTTGCCGCAGGTAGCCGAATTCTGCGATTCATTGAGAGGCAACAACGGGAGCTCTAACATGCAGAACTAACGGTTCGCCTGTGTCTGGAATTACCTCAAGTGTAAAGGAAGAACAGTCGCGTAGAATTCTGGCACTCGTGTCAATGCGCAACAACGATCCGATAACTGGGAAGTATATTTGTGCATTGCAGCAACGTCAGTACCTGCAGAACGCCTGTTCTCCGCTGCTGGACAGATCGTTTCAGAAAGCAGGAGCAGATCTGAAGGGAGAGAGCTTTCGCATGGATGTGTTCCTTCACCAGAATGCTTGGCTTAAAATGATAAATGAATTGAACGGTTCAGTGGTAGCTGCAAGAAAGCCGTTCATGGTATGGAACTGTAACATCTCGCATTTGTGTTGCGTTTTAATTTTGTAATCATGACTTTGCAGTGTTTGTAAAGTTTGACTGCTTGGATTTTCTCAGTGGACATATTCCGGCATTTTCACTGAGGTAATTTCAATGAAAAAAAAAAAAGCTCATACATGAAACCAGCCGAGTACTTCGAATAGTAGCACATTTGGCTGTTCTCTGCAGAAATATTGGTAAATTGACTATCGATAGTATCGATAGTTCTTTTTCAAACTATCGATAATTAATTAACGATAGTTCTGCATCACTACTCTGTGGGCATACACAGTGAACGTGCTTATTTCCCTGCTTCTCCGTTTTCCTTTTCATATTTCCCTCTTTCAACACAGTTGAGTACGAATTAGAAGTGTCGTGAAATATATACAGCGTAAGTTCACATTTGCCGAGGGTCCCACTTGCTGTAAACTGGGGTCACTCGGTGAGCGTTAGTCCAACTCCGTCGATTGAACTAAGGAAAAGCACTGCAATTTATGGGGAGGCGAAGAACATTGGAAAACGAAACTAAAATACCGCTTTTTTAGTTGCGCGCAGTGTCTCAGAAGGAGAAACGAAAAAGTCCTGGCTATAGATAAGTGTATTTCCCTAGTCAGCTGTCCACGCACGCACATTATGTATATTCAGCCAGTATACACTAGCATTGTTGCTGAAGTGAGAAAAAAAAACACTAATAAACACTTGCGCAGGTAACTTGATAGGGCAGAGGAAGAGTCCAGGTGCGGTCAGATATTGTTTCTTTTATCATCTGAGCCCGCATACCCAACCATCCGTATAATACAAACGACAATTTAAACGTCCAGCTCTGCCTTTTGTAGGGTTTCGAAGTGCTTGTCTTGCGCAACTTTGCGGGTGGATAAATACAACGGCGTCGACGCCATGTACCTAGGGTATACTCGCAGTATGCTATTGTCTGAGGAATAATAGAAGAGAACAAAAAGGATGTGTCGAGCTAGTGCGTTTTAGTTCTTTTGTGTGTGCTGCAGTTCACAACAGAAACAATGAAGTGCACTCGCCGTCATAAGCGAATGGATGGATGGACGGATACACGAGATCGATCGTGTAACGTTGAGCAGCCGCATCGCGTGTGATGCTGTCCCATCCGAGACTTCTTTTTTTTTTAATCTTTCTTGTACTTTTTGAAACGAGTCCCCCTGTGGTCGCGATACTAAATGAAATGCTGGATGATGCGCGACGCTCGCTGGCCACGAGCCAATCGAGGTGGCGGGCCAACGTGGAGCCGCTTGGTAACAGTCGTCCACAATGTCAAAGTTAGAAGGGAGTACAAAATTGTTGTAAGATCTGGAAGCTTTCGACGTTGAAACAATATCGTTAATTGATCGTTACAAAACTACGTTTCTTTACGTACCTGAGTATTTCGCCGCGTTGTGTGCACTACATTTAATACGTAACTCGAGGATGACCGAAGCTGAAGGTTGGCGAGGAAAACATCGTCTCTCTGGTGTCACTTCCGTGACAGGTTATGACGCATTTCACCGGAGGATCACGTGACTGACTTACTGTGAGCTAAAAGCTTACAAAAGTCCAGAATAACCACTCGAATAGCCCGCAGTAGTGATGATAATGCAGTGCGTAATGACGTTAATAACATCGCGTAATAATGACGAGTGATATGCACGTGGCAACAACCTGCACTTCGATTTCTGCTGAGATGTCAGCGGCAGCGTTATCGACAGGATAGAATGTTACTTTTTGTCCCCGCGAGGAATCGTATAAACGTAGAGGTCTTGGTGCTTCGAAAATGTATAATAAAGAAAAAAAAGCGGCCGAGTTCTGCATCTTTGCCGTTGCGTGTGAACAACTGTAATACGTGTCATTGTTTCCTGCGTTGATCAACTCATTGGCGCGATGATGCAATGCTGATTTATATATAACGTATTGACTCTCTTTCCTTTCAGAATTGGTTTTCCAGTCATGCTGCTGACCACGGCGATCGCCTCCCTATGGCTGCTGTTCTGTCACGTCTGGTTACAGTGGAACACCTAGGCGTAATATTAAAGACGCTTAGGATAAATGAAATAAATGGGTCTGAACACTTTCGTATGACAAAAATAAGAAATCATTCTTTTTTATATCAACAAAAGTGCGTCCTGTCTGTCTCTGTGGGTCCCAACAGTAACGTGGTGACTGTACATGGATCAAATGACGATGGTCACAGCTCGTATAGCAGATACCGCCGCAACACGCTGGGCAGCACATCGAGCGAGAGCACCTTCTGGACCAGTTCGGGTCCCACCGCACCAAGCATCCTACGCACGCACAGTCTGGCCTGGTGCTTGAGAGGCTGGGGTCTGGCAGCGAGCGCCACCAGCCCGTCCTTGGCTTCGGGTCCTAGCAACAACAGCGAGCGTTCGACGGCGGCGCGAGGGCACGCCTCAGCGGCTTCGAGCACGGCGTCCAGTGCGTCGCCGCGTAGCCCCCGTATGGCGCGCAGAATGCCCAGAGGGTCCTTGGTTTGAGGTCGTAGGACCACGCGCGCACCGTAGCGTAGCAGTAGTCGGATGAGCTCGCCCCTAGGTTCTTCCTCCTGGCCACACAGATACTCGCCCAGTGGTGGCTGCACGAGGGGTGCGCCCCTTTCGCCGGACTCCGAGGCATACGTCAGGCCGTTGGGGTCGGCGCCACGCTCTAGCAGAAGTCGCACCAGGGCCTCCCTGTCCCGACAACGCTCGGACAGGGCCAGGTGCAGCGGAGAACCGACGATCGGCGAGCCTGCGTTGACGTCCGCCCCCGCGTCCAGGAGCAACTTGACGGCAGACAGGTCCCCGCGCAAGATGGCGAAATCCAGCGGGCTCGGATGCCTGTAGCCGGCCTCCATGCGCGCTTTGGCACCGTTGTCGAGCAGCAGCCGCACAATGGACAGGTTGCCGGAGAGCACGGCGTAATGCAAAACGGTGCGGCGATCGTGACGTTCGGGCGCCATAGCGTTCGCGTTAGCGCCATACTTGAGTAACAGCTGCACGGCTTCGAGTCCGTGGGGGTGTCGGGCGGCCTTCATGAGAGGCGTGAGGCCGCCGCGGTCTCGGGCGTCTGGCTCGGCACCATAGCGCAACAGTAGCTCCAGGAATGATACATTCAGGGGACCCACCAGATTTATCTCGGCGCCGAGGAAGTAGCGGGCATTCGGGTTGGCTCCGTGGCGTAGCAACATGTCGGCGCAATCGTAATGTCCGTTCTTGACGGCCAGTCGCAACGGCTCGTCGGCAAGCGTAGCCCTCGGCGGGTTGCCCAGCATCGGTTTGGTGGTGTTGGTGAAGCAGACGCGCGCTCCACCCTGACACACCAGCGTCTCAGCCGTGTGCAGAAAGCCCCGTTCAGCGCACAGGTGCAACGCGGTGTAGCCGACGTCGTCCATCGCGTCCACATCGCATCCGCGCACCAACAGCAGCTGCACAGCCTCGTCGTATTGCTGGTAAGCCGCATAGTGCAGTGGTCGCAGTCCCTGCGTTACCGGCTCGTTGACGCGGGCACCGCAGGCGAGCAAAATTCGCAGCTCATCGAGTGGTGCTAGCCGGATGATGGAATCCGCTAGCTCCCGCTGAAGCGTCTGGAGACAGGGTGCCGTCGGCATGGCACGGCGGATCTCCGGGAAGGTCTGTTCCTACGCCAAGTCTCAGCTGAAGTGCCCCTGCGCAAAGCTGGGTCTACCGTCTTATTTCGGGCGGCACTTTTTTAAGAGCGTCGCTCACGTGGCCGCGGGTGTCCGAGTTGCTTCCGGTGTGCCAATCGCTCTTGACCGCGGTTTGCGGCAACCAGGCGGCGAGCGGCAACCTTGGAGTCTCCTGCAAATAGCCCCTGGCGGGGGGCCACAGCCCGTTCCTGTTTACGGCGCGCCAGCACGTGAGCGACGCTGCTCCACGTGATTTCTTCGCGGAAGACGCCTATGCCGAGGGTCAACGTCTGTTGCCAAGCGCGCCGCACGACTTTGGCTATTCCGAGCGCGGCCTCGAAATTTTGGGTCCTCGCAAGCTGACGACAGTGCAGGTAGATCCCCGTCCCTACCGGGTCCGCACGGCAGCGGATCGCATCCGAAGTTTGCTACCGACTCGGCATATTCTACCGGAGATATCATCTTGCTTAACTGTATACTAGCGAAGGAAAAAAAAGCGAAGCGATGCGATTCGTGCTCGGCCACTCTGAAACTAGTGCAACTAACGCACTCGCAAATACGCTAAGCGCATTGCAACTAAAAAGCAGCTGCCGCCGCGCGTCAGCGGCAGCGGAGCTAGCTGCACCACGCGGTAAATACCTGTTTATGAAAAGGGTACGGAGTAGTCCGGACGACCAAGAAACTGACGATGCTGTGAAAAGAAACGGCACATGCACAGCTTTGTGCGACGCCCAGCGGCCGCGCGGCGAACTCGCTTTCCACAGGTGCAACCAGATGGCAGCTCGTCTGCTGCAGCGTCCACTTGGCTTGTGCACGTCGGCGGTCAGCTACTGCCGCAGGCTCACGTCAGTATCTCATTTTGTGACGTGTGTTGTGTTCAATCCGGGAACCGTTCGTCTTCGTGGTGAACTTGGGAAGATCAGCAGCAATGAGCCACGCTTCGTTTAGGATACATATCGCCTGAAAATAGGTGAGTACGCGTAGCCTCGTCTTTCCGTGCGCACGGTGTCTCCTTGCCGCGCTCGGCTCGATAGGAAAGAAGGGTGCTCCCCTGGCCGACTCTGGCCGGTGCATCGAAGGTCGCCACACCTCCCTAAGCAGCAAAATCGACCCTTCTTTCGGGCACGCGGAACTGGAACCGTGGTGCGGGACCGCCCGCTGTTCCGAGCCGCATGTGCGGGCCTTGAGTTTCGTGCTGCGGCCAAACAGAGCAGCGCTAACGCTTAACCTCCCCGAGCTAGCGAGACAGGAAAAACATGGCGTTTTCCCAAGTGCGCCGTGGCTCCATGCTCGTCTTCCCCTCACCTGCGTTTCTCGGCGGCAACCTGTTTGTTTGTTATTTGTTTGCGTCAGTTTTCCGTCGAGCGACGGAGCCGTACGATCGTCCTCGGCATCAGATGAGCGGCGTTGCGCACTGGGCAGCCATCGGCGCAACGTAGCCACTCGCCTGCCCAATCGCGGTGAGCCTCTCTGTCTATTCGCAACTCGTATTGAGTGCAGTTTTTGTTTCATTTTGTCCTTTTGCACAAGCACGAGATCCCTGCCGTGGTGGCCTAGTGTATAAGGTACTCGGCTGCTGACCTGCAGGTCGCGGGATCGAATCCCGGCTGCGGTGTCTGCATTTTCCATGGAGGCGAAAATGCTGTAGGCCCGTGTGCTCAGATTTGGGCGCACGTTAAAAGAACCCCAGGTGGTCGAACTTTCCGGAGTCCTCCACTACGGCGTCTTTCATAATCATATGGTGGCTTTGGGACGTTAAACCCCACGTATCACTGATCATCACAAGCACGAGCCGCCGTTGTTTTATGTTTTGTCATCGGCGGCGTTATTTACTCGAAGCAATCAATCCTAGCCTAACCTTGACCCCGCACTGTCCCTTAGTTGGCTGATCGAGCGACGTTGAGACACGGTATTTCTTGATCGGAGCTCAAGGTCGAGCAGCTTTTTCGTTTAAATGCACTTCGATCTGCACCGCTTCGTTTCTATTCCCAACACACTCTGACTGATCGGCGCTTTACTTCTCAACGGCAACCGCCTGGCGCTCGCAAGTTTCCCAGCGCTTTTAAAAATCTTTTCGCTGGAAATAGCGGGGTGTCGGATAACGACGGGCAGTGAGCAATTTCTCTTAGGTTTGGAGCGGAAAGTGACGGGATTCGCGAATGATGAACTTAATGTGCCGCACGCATTGTTGCTTGCACCTACGTCACTGCGTTCAGGAAAGGACGCTGGTTTGCGTCTGGTTCCGCGTTCAGGCGAGGAAGAAGGTGGCGAGCGTAGTACTATGTAGCACCGTAGGGGCCTAGGCGACTACGACTGTGCGCTTTTACCCGCTACGGTTCCTTTGCATTCTGCGTGTGTGCAAAGCCGCCGAATCGACAGCCGTTTTCACAAACAGCTGTGTGCGCCTAAGTGCAACGCTGTTGGATGCGCTGCTAGATCCCCCAGTGGCGTGGCGGTTATCTAGAGCAAGCTGCCTTTCAGGCGGGCACTTTTTTTTTTCTTTATCCTCCTCGCTTGCGTGTTTTCTGCTCATATTGTGACAACTTGCTAGAAACTGTAGCTGCGCGCTTTTTGTTTGTTGTTTTCCTCTTCGGTTTAGTGTGGCAGTGCTGTAGTGCTTTTTTTTTTTTTTTCTACGAAGCGCTCGCTATCGAGCGAGTCCGGAGAGGAAGCGAAGAGCCATCAGCCGCAGTGCGTTCTTTCCTGTCGGTCATCTGAAGTCCCGCGCCGCTCTGTGGCCCAGTGGCGAGACTGGGCGCCGAGGTAACTTAATCGCCGCTCTCCGTGATCGAGCACGGTCCGTCTGCTTTGATAACAGCGGATGCGGCGCTGTTTACCCGCCGCCTTGTTGCCCGGAAACTGCGGTGGTCCGGCATTGCGGCGATCAATGCGCGCCGAGAACCATTTAGCGCACTTTTCGTCGGGCGCGCTCGCAAAGAGCAGCAATCAGGTCCGCTATTGACAGTCCGTGAATGGCCGGCTGATTGGTCTCCTGGCCAGGGCATGGCGGCTAAATATAACGTACCGTTACTCCCACGCAGACCCGCCTTGAGCTGGTTGGCTGCGCGCGTTCTTTTAAAAAACCGATGTGGGATTCGTCTGAAAAAATCCTACGAGCACGCCCTGATGCAGGGAGCGATGGAATTTCGCGTCTGAAGGCGAGCACGACCACCACAGTTTGTTAGCTCACAAGAAGCTAGGTGCATCAGTCATCCATTTAAAACACTACATGGTCGTCTTAAGAACTCGTGTCGTTGCAAATGTTTCCTCGCTATATGTGTGCTGCAACATATTCTTCCAGCGCCTGATAATTAGTAAGTGCTCCCCTCTTTTTATTTTTTTTGCCTAACAGTAGAGTACGCTGCAGCTAGCAGCGACCCGTCAACCGGGGTTCTACAGCCTAGCAGAGGCGTAGCCAAAGGTTTTTTGCTGGGAGGCCAACATTGCTTTCTGTTGGTGTGTGCATTTGTATGTGCATGCAGAATTGTAACAGAATTCTGTGCGGTGGGGTCAAACTTTCCAAATCAACCACATGGTGACACCGCTGCGAACTACTGAAGCAAATTCACAGTACCCTGACGAACCGTGTATCGTCTGGTCGATGTCCGAAAGCACGTTTGAACTTATATGGAGTCATTTTCACGACGTCATTGCGTTGTAGAAACAGCCAGCTACGAACAACTAAACATGGCGTCGTTTGCCTGGACGACGCAGCCATCCGCGCGAGATGCATGCACCCGTAGCTCCGAGAAGTTTGTGGTTTTTTCTGTTTGCCAAACCACGACTTCGTACAGTCGCCTTTGCTAGAGTTACCTAGCCTTGGCCTAGTACTTTTAGATAGTATTTGAATGTGTCTTTCGGTGCGCAAAAAAAAAATAATAATTGTGAATGCTGCACATTCTGACATGTTGAAGTCCGGTCGGTTTCTTTCAGACTAGAACACTGTAAAGGTTCAGGTCACAATCAGTCAGGACCAGAGGTGTAGCTGGGTTCTTAAGAATTCACGCGCAATGTTTGTTGCTCGGCTATCCGTGGCAGTGGCGTAGTCAAGTAGTAGCACACCAGGTGGAAAGATCGGATGACCTCTTTTGTTTGTGGCACTTGGAGATGAGCAATCTTTGAATAATAGTCTTTGAAGCTTGCTAGTTGTTCAAAGAAGTTCTTTGAGGCTTGCCAGTTGCGACATATATGCACTAGTACAAGCTGTGCACTTGCGATGCCCCGTGCAGGGGTGCTATTTGTGGACATAGTCGAGTTCACCGTCTTGTCAAAGCCTGAAACCTTGCTGTAGTGCCTTGTTGTCAAGTGTGTAGTCGTAATTACTTTGTAATGCAAGCTTGGAGGAATCGAATAGTTCTGAGGCTTGTAGGAAGAATCATCGCCCGCCGGGGTAGCAAACTGAACCCCCACTAGCTTACGTACGACCCTTCTATGTTCAGATATCCTTTTAGTTGATGACTAGTGCATGCCCGTGAATGTGATAACGTCCTCTTCAATATCAGCTCTTATTTTGTTGATGTGTACGCGCATAGCTGGCAGCTGTTCCCAATAGTCGAAAATTCGTATGCACGTACCACTGATGGTGATGATGTGCGACAGCCTAAAACTATTGGGGGTATGCACTTGACGTCATTCGCGAGGATCGCTAGCATTGGGGCCACCATTTTGAAAGACTGCATGCTCGCCGCACGCACATAAAATTTGCTGCACACGGTGTGTTCAAACTCCACACAGCAACTTAGAGAGGCTTAGAGACCTCCGGAACACGTTCTGCACGCCAAAACATGGGCAGCAGAATGGCGCCTACGAATGGATCTTCCTTCGTGTCCTCCTTGTCTCTGTGTCGTCGTTCTGTTCTCGCGCTATAACTATCATCATGTCATACCAACTAGCCCAAGCTGTCACACTTTAATATGGCGCGGCGATGGTGTTGCCCTCTTGCAGATCAAGGCTCGAAACATTTCGCTTCTTTTCCACTCCGCTAGGATTGTGCATGCGCCGTGGCACCGTGGAAAAAAGAAAGTATGAGTACTTCTGTGACCATGTACAGTAGTAATAATTCGCGATGCGTTTTACGTCGTTTTGCTTGCTTTTTTTCTTGGCTTTAGCATGACCTTAGTGTATACGCAATAAAATAGAGCTGAAACTCATAATTAACGAAGGGTGTGAGTGCACTCTAATTGTTTCATTAAATCTGAAATTTCGCACAATCAAGAAATGTATTTTTTTATCCCTCTAAATCGAACGTTATAACGTAGCAGCACCAAATCATTATTACAGCATTGTTTCGGTCGGCAAGCCATGCCTCGTGTATGAAAAATCCGTGAAGGCAGCCGAGACATGAAGACTGCCACGTTTGGGCGATGCAAGGCCAGGCAGAAGATCAGGGGGAGCTATGACCGCCCACTGCTGTGCGATGATGCAGAAAACGAGTGCACTGACTGTGTCAGTTGGCCGAGAGAGAAAGATGCGAGGCTATCATCAGTGTTATATCTGTTGTATGAACCACAGAATGACCATAACAACCACCGGCAGCTGTATGTACCATCTGATGCATAAGAACACTATAGACTGCCGAGTCCTTTCTGATAGCTCGGCCTGGCTTACCTCCCTATCAAAATAAAGCCAGGGAGGATCAGGTTTCGTTTGATCAAGTTTTTACTGTATATTGCTAGCTGTGATTGTCAGCCTTAGGGCTACAGCAACATCAAATAGTTTGCATCATGTATTAAACAGCAATTACTTGAAAAGGTCTACGGTGTCAATATTATCAACAGCAGTGCTTCAGTAATCGACATGTTAATTTATATGTATTATAAGACCTTAGTGAGACGTTCTAGTACTATCATATGACATGGCACTTCTACAACCACTCACGTTAAAAGAATCTGTGTAGTGCAAAAAGTACATTTAGTCCTTTGAACTCATTACTAAAGACCGGAACTTTAGGCAAAATGCCTATATTTTCCC